AGGAAAAGTACCAATTAATCATAATACATTTTCAATTTTATAGTAAGTTTTTCTGTAGCCAATTATTTACTGTCATTTTTAATATCCAATTATAAAGAAATGGCCTTTCTTTAAGAATCTCTTAAGAAACATCAGAAATGCTATTGATATAGAAGCAAAAAAAATCATAAACAAAAAAATTATTTAGTCATTCAACTACTTTTAATTCATTCTGATCTTCAGAATATTTGGAAACGAACTTCTACTCACACAGAAAAAGAATTACTTCAGGAAACTGTTACGGCTTGGGTAGACTAATCCAGCATTCTGAAGAGTTTGACTCCCATTTTATTTAAATGTTATTTGCAAACAAAACAAATTGATAAGTCTTTATACTGCTGTCTGTCATACACTTGCAACCCTCTAAAATATTTCAGAATCAAAGCATTCTCCTAAAAAACTGGAAGAGATACTCTAACTTGAGGACAATTGAAATGATTTAACAGCGGCAGCACGGGTGTGGGGGTAAGTACAGGGAACAGTTGACGTAAGTGCTCTGAACTGCCTGTGCTTTTCAACTGCAGATAAATGCTTCAATTGTCAGTAAAATTTTTTATAAAAACACCTCAGGAACTGCAGCTTCCACTAGGAGAGGAGGTGGTATACATCCACTTTCCTGGGTAATCCCTATTGGCTGATAAATGACTTCAGATGGTTGCAGATACAAGAATGAAGGTGAAGAGGCAGGAGACTGAAATAAAACACATTATTTTAATAAATTTATGATTTATGCATTATAAATACCAAAGCTTATTTTAGAGTCGTCTTTGCTACATATAAACAAAGATAAAGCTTTAAAAGAAAGTGTCTAATTCATCTTCGATAACCTAAAGTAACTAAGTGAGGGGGAAGTGGTAGAAAGATCAGGTAGTAGAATAAAATAAAGATGTCCTTTAATCACTTTTACGTACTTTTCAGATTTTATTTACATTTTGGAGAGCACTGTGAGAGAAATCCTAAACTTTATAAAATTGACACTTCCTCTCAACATAATACAGTTTAATTCTCTCTTGTGAAAATGTTACATTAAAACCCCAAATATTTTAGTTTTAAAATAAACCCCACAGTATTTCTGTAATTCAGCACCCAGATTTCAAAGCAGCAGACTGACATCCATTAATAGAGTGGAACTGACCATAACTGGACAAGGCTGGCTACTACTAAAGTAATGAAGACGCATTATAACAGTTCAAGCTTAAGGGACTTGGTCCTCCTTTTAGCTTCAAAGTCTTCAAGTTCCTTGAGTGGCACAATTGCCATAGTAAGCTCCTCCGCTACAGAGATCACAAAACCGGTAATGTCTCCCCCCAAAATTACCAAGTTAGCAATTCCCTTCTATTTCAAGGGTCTAGGTCCAATTTCACCATACTTGTGAGTCTACATGCCTCTGCTAGCAATACTCCAATGAAGCATCACGGTTAGTATCAGTTAATGAGCTAGTCAATAGTAATTTCTCCTATCAGGCGAAATATAGCAGTTTTTACCTGCTTCTGAGAACTTATTAGATAATTTAATACAAAATTTTTGCCACAGGAAGAGGGGAGGGGAAGATACTTTCTATACATCAGATTTGTATTTGATGTTTCAATAAATGCTATTTTACGCCTTCTATTGTATCAGCAAGTGTTGCAAATGCATTGCTAAAATATAGCAATTAATATTTATTTCAACAGTGTTGTGAATAGTGGGAAATTTCTCTGTTAGATAAGCACACTGAACCTTTAAACTAGATGCAAACTAATGGTAAAATGCTGCAACTATGAACTGTATTTACCTGTGGAACAGACCACTGCCACTGACTTGGAAGACACTGTGTTGGCGCCTAAATTCAAACAAAAAAAGGCATTACTTATGTGATTAAGAACATATGCATACACATACTAGAATCAAAACTATCTATAATAAATTCTTAATTAAAAAGAATATGATTTTCATAAGCTCCCAAATAATTCGGGAACATAGTTTTGTCTACTTCTACTTAGCCTCTGACTCAGGCATTTCATAAGCTTCTCAAATACTGAAGCATCTAAGAAGCACGCCTAATTAGGAAAACAGAAGGTACAAAATGCAGTTAACTTTCCAATACACATTAAAACCACAGACATACTGTATAAATCCAGTAGTGAGCCACCATGATGGTTAGGGGACTGGAGAACAGACATACCAGGATGCTGAGAGAATTGGGTTTGTTCAGCCTTGAGAAGGATAACGGTGAGAGGGGAGAATTATTGCTGGCTACAACTACCTAAAGGGGGGGTGAGGCATAAATATGACTGACCCAGATTCTCATCAGAGGTTTTCAGAGCACAAGAGTCAATGGACATAGGCTGGAACATTAAAAATTTAATAGTTATAAGGAAAGAAGTCTTTTACCATGAGAAGGGTCAAATATTGGAAGAGGCTGTCCAGAATGGTTATAGAAGCTCCATCACTGGAGATATTTAAAATTCAACTGGACAAGTTCCTGAGAAATCTGATCTAACCAGCCTGGCTTTGAGCAGGAGTTTGGCTTAGATGAGAAAAGTTAAGGATGGTACTAAGCCAGTTGTCTAGCAACACCAAAGAAAAATTTAATTTATTACATTTCAATGTAGTTACATTGGCAGAATACATTGTATTCTAGTAAAAAGAAAGCCTTCAATGAAATTAAAATGTTTTATATGACTATTTTGAACAGTCTTTTTATTTTGTACAAATAAACAGACCTGAGACAGTGCTGCAAATAAAACTGCATGGCTGGAAGGAATACTGATGGTCTGAAACCCATTTTCAAACAGATACCTGATAATGGTATGTAGGAGACTGATAAACCGGTTGAGCTACCATCATAGGTGAACTGGAAACAGAGCGCGACTTAAAAAGAAAAAAGTTACAAGTCTTAATGCAGCAATTTCATAAATTGTCACTCCTATTAAGAACAGTTCTGAAGTGCTATAATGCTGAACCACCTCCCCTCCGTTTTGAAAATGGATTTATCAAGTTTTAACTTACACTTAGATTCTTCAAAACCACTGTTTCTAAGGGCCTACATTAGACATGAAACAAAAGTCTTTGGCATATTTACTTAAGTTTTTTCCAGAAAGCACTAGGCTATCACTATTTAGAGATGCTAAGGCCATCCACTATCCTGACCATAGGTACATTTTTGTAAACACTTAGGGCAATGCAAGTTGTCACTGATGTATTCCTATCCTCTCCACAGCCCCAACCCAACCTTCCCTTTTCCCTTCCTCACACCAGCCACAGCATTCACCGGATTTGGTAGTGAGCCAGTCTAGGGAGCCAAACCAGCTAGACACGTGCCTGGGTTTTTTGGGGGCCCAGTTTAGGGTCAGAGAAACACCAGTGAAAGAAAGGGGGGCAGAAATACATGGCCATGGTAGGAGGACAACATAGGACTGTGAACGTCTAGTTCTGATTAGTTAAAGCTAGTGTGTGCAACTAGGACGAGAGGAAATGGCCTCAAGGGAGTTTTAGATTGGACATTAGGAAAAATTTCTTTACTGAAAGAGTGGTCAGGCCTTGGAACAGGCTGCCCAGGGAAGTGGTGGAGTCACCATCCCTGGAAGTATTTAAAAGACATGTAGATGTGGTGCTCAGGGACATGGTTTAGTGGGCATGGTGGTGTTGGGTTGATGGTTGGACTCTATGATCTTAGAGGTCTTTTCTAACCTTAATGATTCTATGATTTTTATGGTTCCCATGTAATGAAATTCCCTCATTCCTGCAAATATTTACAAATGCTCCACAACTACTTTAATTCATTCTACACTATATGAAAATGCAGAATGCAAAATGGAAAAAAAAAAAAGATCCGATCTGCACTGTTATACACACACAATACACACCAAAAAGTACTAATATCTTTAATTTGATTAATGTTTTCTGTAACATCAAATTTTCAGTTTTTTTCCTTAACTTCTTTACAGAGGTACTTTCCTAATGATGAAAATTAGAATATGTAAATAACTGAAACCAAGAGAGGCAGCACTATTTCTAATTGGAAAGATTGAGTGCTATTTGTTTGAAACACAGTGGATCTGAGCCAGGGCACCAGAACCAAAGTTCAGTACTAGAACACAAAAATTATTTTTTTTTTTCCAATTGGTAGGATTTGAGCAAGTTCTTTAGAACTATAGAGCATGAACTTCAAAAAGGCTTTCTAAAATATGTGAACATATGTGTTTATGCTTACCCTCTAAAGTTGAGAAGGCACTATAAGGCACTATATCATGCCTCTGTTAGAAGAGCAAACATCTTAGAAGTTAAGAGAAGTGAGTAAAACAGAGGTTAAAGACTGAGAAAAAGATTCTACAGTGCCAAAATAAACAACAGAAAAGAATCTATTACTGCTTTCATCTCTGTTTTGGGAAAGTTTGTTTTTATTTATTAGTAATTCTTCTATTGAGTTTTTCCCCCCCAATATGTGATGGGATTTTCCACTTATTTATAAAGATGGTACGTACAGTCTCTGTGAATGCTGCTTTTACAGAAATTAGTAAGGATGCATCCTCTATGTAGGTCCTGTGCCTTATGCAGACCCCATCAGTCTTGCAATCCTTCCCTCTCGTAAAAAAACTGAAGTGATTGACAACTCCTTCCTGCACTTCCCAAAAAATTCTGTCCAAGTTCCCCAAGCCTACTAAAGCCAAACAATTGATCTATTGCATTATCTTCCTCCTAAAACAAGCAGTATTCATGAAAAAGTATGTGAATTACTATAAAATTACGCAATTTCACTTTTGCTTTATCTAGTATTATGTTCTCTTTTCATCCTCAGCATAGTATATTGCAGCCAAGAACACTTCAGTCATTGAGAAATAATAAATGGAGCCAATCAAGGGTCACAAGCACCAACAAGTCCTTAGTAAAACAAAACTTCTCCTGGGGTAGGGCCCACACTGATACTCAACTACCCTGTCCAGTAGGTCACATCAAAGCAAAGTCCCCTGCAGAAGAACAATAAACTTAAGCAATATTTAAAAAAACACAAAATAAACAGACTAATATAAGGAAGCCATTTAAACATCAAACACGAGTCATAGCCAAAGAAACTGGAAGCAGGAGGGACTTGAAAACACTGCACTCATCCTGGTCCACAGAAAAGCATATATACAAAAATAAACTACTTACTGGCCATGGCTGTGGAACAGAAGCAACTTCAGACGTATGAAAATAAGCCACGCCATTATGGTAAATATAAGGATATCCACTTGAAGTAGTTAAGTACATTGTACCAGCTTCTGGTATTACAGTAGAACCTGGAATTAATATTTTTAAGTTTACTTACCAATAATTTTTTTTGCAGGTCATGTAAAAAAAAAAGAGGACGTAATTTCTGATCTTCAGAGAAGCAAAACACTCAAAGGAAAGAACATGGGGCAGTGTGCCTAGTGCCATCGATTCCCTCTCGAACACAAAATCATGAAAGCAGATAGTCACAGGATATCTCCAGAGGTATATGGGAAGCGGTGCAAAAGACGATATGCATATAAATTACTAAACACAGATAACTCCAGTTACCAGCAAATATATATATTTTTTAATCTTCAAATATCCAAAGGTAACTTCACATTGAAGGAGATTTTCATTGGTAACCTTCACATATTCATATTTATCTGAAACAGCACTAAAAACAACAGAATGATTTCATTGCAAGGTGCAGCCTAGTTTCTCAACACACAAACACGGTCCTTCTGTGATGGTACATTGCCTGGCAAAAGTAAAAACTGGTATCTAGATGTCAGCAACAGGGACACTTCTCAGCAATGCTGACACTACAGTGGAGGCTACAAATGAGCATGGTCTGATCCCAGAGCTGAGTTTCACTTACACAGCCCTCTAAGGGGTACTGACAGCAAGCATTATTCAAATAAAGGGATATCTATCCCTATGCAGAGGTGGTTTATCTTTTTCAAACACTGCCTTTGAGATTGCCTACGCTCCATTCTGTCTGCATTTGGGGGGGGCGGGGGCATGGGACAGGAATTCATGTTTCTCTAGAACTTTATGTCAAACATGAAGACAAGTTTTCATTCCAAATATAAAAAGACTTCTGTAAAAAAAAAAAAAAGAAAATTAATTCTGTAACTGAAATTGAAATCTTGAAATCACATTAAGTAGTAACATAGCATGGAAAAACTCAGGAAGAACATAATATAAAGAAGATCACTGAGCAAGATCTAGTTTTTCATCTCCCTTGCAAAGGTAAGTGCTACAAGGAAGTGCCATTTTATGGACAGACACAATGCTAGGATGTTAAGTAGAGGATCAAGAAGGGTCCCACAATGATTCAAGGGCCTTTATCAACGGTAAGAGTTTTGACTAACTCCTAGAAATGCCTGAAGACACCTGGATACAATAAAGCTGAAATACTATCCACAGACAGGTCAGGCTAAGATGGTTGTTAGGATAGTGTTAAACAGACATTAGAAAAATTAGAGGCTACTTGAGCTCCAGTAAGCAATCTAGAACAGTAGTTACTGATATCTCAAATGAGGAGACCAACAGGATCCCATGGCCAACAATCCTGTCCACTTTGCTAACTACCAAGTACATTGCACAGAACTTTCTGCTATTGTTAAATACGCCTCTTAGAAAGGAAAAGGAAATATTCTCCATTCTCCCAGCAAACTCACTGTGACAGAAAAAAAAACCCACCAAAAAACCACACAACAATTTGGGGGAGGTATAGCTATCTGAAATTCTTCCAGCCCACAACAATTCATCGTTCTTCTTCTAGTTGTTCGTGTTTGGTTTCTACTTTTCAGCTTTTAGAATGCCCATTTTCACAATACTTGTTGCTGGGGAAAAGCAAACTGAGCAATCCTCTCAGTATGCTGAAAGTTCTTAGCAAAAGAGGTCCTATGATGACAGAAGAACTAAAAATTATTTTGCTTAATAGTAGGGGAAACAGGTGCTATATTACAGGTGGGCTGGAGGGGATAGTGATAAATGGGCTCTCTTCAATTCTGCTAAATATAACAGAACCACAGCCCTACAGTGACACTGCGAGTCTAGGTTTTATGACTTCAGGAACCTCAAGATGCGCTGCAGTAGGACAAAGTATCCTAGCAACTAAAGTTGGTAGGCTGAGCATGAGAGCAGACACACTAAAATCAGATCCTAGGATATGTCCCTAGATGTCAATATGACCTTGTATCACAGATCTATCCTAGGCCTGAAGAAGTGGTAGAGTCAAACAGGGCGACAAACAGATCTCAGAAGGACACAGCAGCTTTCTGCAAAAAAATGTTTTTTTTCCCCGCCCTCTGTTCTCCCAGGTCTCAGAATTGAAGAGATATGCCCCTCTTCTATCAATACACACATTCAGCACAAGAGTCAGAGGAAGGAAGTACCACAAATGCATCAGGCAGTGCACATGAGAAAGTCCAAGTCAAAGACGGAAAGGGAAATAAAGCATGGCAAAAAAAAAGCATATAACCCTTTGATGATGAGCAAAGATTAAATAATTTCCAAAGCAAAGAAACTATACAGTTGGAACAAAGTATTCCATTTGCCCTGGGCAAACACTATCCTACACATTTACAAGGGAGAAGGGCATTCCTTTGCAAGAGGAGAGGAAGAGAGAGGGAAGTTTCCTGTCTGCAGAAAGTATGTCTGCACCAACAGTGTCAGTGTACATATGAACTACTTATAATTGATAATGTGACAGTAACAACTGAAAAAAGCTTTAGAATTAAACTAAAATTCTCTGTATCGTCCTAAGACAGAAGATGAGCAAAAGTTTTTTTTTCCTTGTCCAAAAGGTACCATAGGACAAATACTGAAGGAAAGTTACAAAAGTACACTTCATTCCCTGCTGCACTAATAAAAGGAATGTATTTTACGTCTCTGACACATAGCCTTTACTGAGGAATAACAAAACAGCATGCCTTGCTATGCCAAAACCTGACAGATCTTGTCTTAAAAGTTGGTGACTTATATCCTACATTTTCAGTAGTGTATTATCGAAACAAAACAGCCCCTGGCAGAATGGGAGGGCATCTTCTCTAAAAGAAAACCTGTCTTCTGTCACCCCCAAAAGAACATCGTAACAGCATACTTGCTCAAGATAAAGTAGCCATCTGACAAAAAAAAACTTATCAATACTCCTCTTACGTAAGTGTTCAGTCTAAATAGTCCTCTTCCAGAGAAGGAACATACAGCATCCATTCCATTATCTTACAGCAAAGAATTAAGAAGCAAATGGTGACTGCAACCATACATTCCTTATGGTTTCTACCAAAGCAAGATGCAACAGTCCTGATGCCAATTCTGCCAATATAAACAGATCGGGTAACAACCCAACCAACCAGCACAGCCTGCTTTATCCTGTAGAATCTGTGAGGAAATCCAAGTGTTTAGAGGTTCTGCCTGGCAACTGAGAGAAATTTCCATTCAGTTTGTTCCTAGATAATCTTTTCCGAGACAGAAAGTAAAAAACATTAAAAGAAATAAAAGAACCAAAGATCATCAATCTGTTTATTTGGACATTTCCACTGGCATGCATTTACTTCCACTGCAAACCACTTCTGAGCATATTCCACACACAGCATTAATACAACGCACGACCAGGCACATCTTGGTTAAAAACTTACATTCATAGATAATATACAAATGTAAATAAGAATACATACGAGGACTCCGTATTTGTTGTTTTCTTATTGCTGGACCAATATTCAATTTCTTATCCTTATAATTAAGTTTTTTAGCCTAGAATTAAAGAAAAAAAGACATTCAGTATGTGTATTTTCTACACATATTTACGCATCCAAGAAACAAAAACCAGAAGTAGACAAGGTACTCAGTAGGTTGCACCTTCCCCTGCTTTTTATTTACAGTGCATCTCAAAAACCCAAAAGCTATACTAATTCCTTTTCAATCTAACCTTAGACTTCACATAGACAAAATTAATCATTAGTAATTTCAAGCATTACTTGCTTCTCATGGAGCCTCTTGACTAACAACTGATACCTATAATTGTCAGGAAATTTTTTTAGTTTTACCTTCCTCATGTATTTACTGCCTTTATAAAAGCACATGTGTACACAAACTGACAATTTCACATATAAAGATCAATTTTTTTTTTTCATGGTCATGACATTATTTTACAAAAGATGACAGGAACAAGTAAGTCTATGAAAAGGGCCAGGTTATAAGGGCTGAATGTAAAAAATCCCCATATTCACTCAGGACTGCCTTAAAACTTCTTACATCCAGGCTAACAAAACATAAAAGCATACCGAAACAGGTATCTTAGCAAGGCTAAACTACTGCAGAAGAATTTTTTAATAGAAAAGTGCTAGGTACAGACAAGTAAAGCTACATTCTCTTCCAACTGTTTTGCTTACAACAGAAAATGAGCATCAGGTCTATCAGGTAAATTAAAACCTTACCTTTGTTTTTAAATTGACACTGAACTCACTACTCGTTAATATAATGGAAAGGAACAGGGTAAATTAACTTTTTTTTTTTAGTTGTCAGCACTTATTTAATGCTGCTTTGCAAAACCTGAAACGGTTCTGAAGGCCTGCTTCCCTGAACAATTACGTAAGGGAGAATGTGCACTAAGCACTACCACCTTACACCACAAAGTCTTCAGTTTTCAGAGCTGTAACTTCTCCAGCGAGGAGATAATTACTTCTTGAAAAGGAACATAGAAAGAAATGCAGTTCTAAATCACATTCAACAGAAGGACAACAGTTAGGTAATCAATACATTTTCTTCATTCAAGCCCTACTTAGCAAAATACTTGAACACCTGTACACAATGCAAAGTCCCACCTATCAGGTTTAAAGTTAGGAAGAGGCTAAACTATTTTGTTGAATCTAGGACCTCATAAACAAGTATTAATTATAACAAACATACCTACCTAGCCTATTAAACACAGAGCAACTCCTACAACAGAGATGTGCATTTCAGTCAAACAGCATTCCAACACAGACAATAGGAAGATGATTCTTCCCAATGCAATGTATTTCATTGATGTGATCCATCAGAAGTTAAACTTTCACAACTTTCAGAGTTAAGAGAAATATCTAATCTATATGGACTTCTTCAAAGCATTTAATATAGTACTGCATGAAAAATTGCACATGATGCTACAGAAAGTGAAGACTAATAGGAAAAACTGGGGTGAATAAAAAAATTATTTCAGAAAGATGGGAAGAGGTAGCATTAGTAGTAATATCGTATGACCGGAAAGAGGATCCTGGTGAAACTCCACAAGGTCTGTTCTCGATACTAAAGCAATTTAATACTTTCAAAGACTGCAACGCACAAAAAGAAATTTCTGGAGACATTACTCATGACAGAAAAGTAGGATGCAAAAAGATCAGTGCAAAGGATGATCAGAATATCATATAAATGAGAAAAAATTCAGGAGTACAAAATGAAAAAAATCATTCATTTCATTCATAAATTATTAAAGCCTAGAAACTCTCAGCTTAAGATGTCTGAGAAAAACCTAGATGCTAATTGATCTTAAGATGAATATGAGATAGCAGTATGATGCAAAGATGAAAAAGGTGATAGAATTCTAGGACATCTAAATTAAAGCAGTTATAGTAGACAAAAAAGTATTAGTATCATTGAATGAGACACCAGTAAGACTTCACATGGAGCAGCCTTTCAGTTCTAACAGAGGCAAAAATCCTAAGCCATATTCACGCTGGTACTCAGTACCATTGGTATTCTTCTAGTTCACAGAAATAAAACAATAAAAAAAAAAAACGGGAAGAAAAGTAGCTGACTCAAGAAGTTCCTGTGTCTATATTATTTTGGCTCCACATAACCGTATTTTTTGAAAACACTTTGAAAATTTCTTTGAAAATGTCCCAGTTCTTATTTTGAATTTTAACACATGAATTTTCAACAAAGGCTCAGTATTTCAACATGTTAACCTGCTTTATATCTGGGAGAAGGCAATTTGCAAGCCTTGGATACTATTTTCTGGGTCCCCCCCCCGCACCCAGACACCTTCACGTGTATGAATAGATCCTGACCGACAGATCTCTCCAATACATTCCAACCAGAACATGGAGCATACATTTAAAAAAACCAAAACAAACTGAAGAGCTAGCATACAGCTGAAGAGCTACCCATGTCTCAAGGGAGTTTCTCTAAGGAGTGTCAAGACAGTAACATAGCTAAGCAGAGAGGCAACAATTACATGACATAAAATGAGCTTCATTGTTTAAGACTTCAAGTGAATCTAATTATTCCTGAAAAGAATTACATCAACTCTGACAATCAAACATGTCAGAAAAGACAGCAGTTATCTCTCCCGACTCCCCACAAAGTCTTGACAGCAATGGATTTTCTAGTAAAGCAAATTAAAGCAATTGTGAAGGACAGAGTCTTTATAGCTCTATATGTACTATAGACCACATACAGACTAAGAAAGTAAAGACTGTCTGTCGAAGTCAAGAGCTCTACTATGAACTGGCAACTACCTTCCCTAGTTCCAGAAGATCTCAGTATAAATCTTACCTTAGATCTCTCTAAGCCATCTTCTTAACTATGTAGACTAAACTTAACAGATCTTCAAATGCAAGTTGGCAAACAGAAGAGGACCAGCCAACCAGGGCTACTTCGTGTCTAATATGAGTATTTCATTTAAGAGATAATCATAATGGGGACTATCACTTACCTCTTGTAAAATCTTCTGTGCATCTTCTTGGGTTTCAAAAGTAACAAAGCCATACCTAAATAAAAATTACAGAAGCTAAGTCTCTGAAGTTCATATTTACATACATTGCACATTAATTCTCCATATATAGTACATGTGACAAAAAAAAAATCATAGAAATAAAGACTGCAGTAACAACTGTAGCTTAATTTAACATCCTTGTTATAGTCTACTTACTAATATATTTAAGTACATCATCATATATTACTGTTTCTATGCAGTGAATGAGTAGCCCACATAGAAAGCTTGCAAAACTCTGCATTGTCCTTGTTACTCAACGCTCGTCTTTAGTTCCTTCATTTCTATTAAACAAAGATTTTGATCCGAAGCTCTCACTCGTTATGGGTGCCCAAGATGAGATACTTGGGATTTTTTTTTTTTTTTAAAAATATACTGTACTTCATAGCACAGCTCCCGCCTACTTAGGCAACAACTGTGCTCCACGCTTCCACAAGCAATATCCAGTATACTGAGTTCTCAGAAAAAGCAGCAATGCAGAGATAAGTGTTTATCTGAGAATTATTCTTGTCATTCTTGACATGACTAGCATTAAACAAGAGTTCTGTGGTGATCAAGGATGAAGTTTTCTCATACTTTGTGACACAGTATGTCTCTTTCACCACGCCTCTTCTAACTGCTGCAACAAATCAAAAGGGCTTTCTACACAGAACTCCTGCTGTACCAAACCCCCTCAATTAATTTTCAGAGAAACCTAGGCCACTGAATGTGGCACTGCCTGTGCAAAACTAAGTATCTGATCTTATAATTAAACTCTGTACCACAACACATATTTACAAAAAAATTGATTTTTTCCAAAACTAACTTCAACTTTCTGAATATCGACAAATCTTTTTAAAAAATCTTTTAGTAGTTCTGTGTGCATAATTTCTTAGATTCATGACTCATTTCTCATGGTCAGATTTCAGAAGATACCAAGAAGACCTCTGTCATTCCAGCCAGCAGATCAAATTTTGCAATACAACATATAATTCTTTGTGAGCATTTCTGTGCTTATTTGAGTACAGAGGTCCAGTAAGTCTCTAACCAGCTATACTTTTAAATTTGTGGGCTTTTCCCTGTATTGCCTTCTCTAAACAAATTTGGAAACATTTCCAAGTTCAAAGAACACAGAAACTATTTTCCTAGCTTGGGACCTTACCTACATAGACTTTTCATTCTGTGTGCTATCTGGACAATAAACTAACAGACACAATTAATCACACAAACTTGTATGTTTCTTAAATCACTTGCCAACGAGAAGTAATGAAGCCTGTGCTTGGATTTCAACAGAAATCCCAACATCATTGAAAGTAATTATTTTCCAACATGTTTACTGTGAGATATATGTTGGCAATCGTAACTGCATAATAATTGGATATTCTCGGGTTATTGTATTATATGGACACATGTATTGCAAGTCTCAAATATTTCTTGGAATTTAGTAAAAGGGTAAGAGGCTTGGTGACAGATCTGGGACCAGGACCAAGTCCAACATGCCATGCATGTGTATACTCTATGCTAAGACCTGCAGCTCAGTGTGTAATTTTCTGATATATGTTAAGGGCTGACAGCATTACAATTATGAGATTCAGGCACCACAGGCTTACTGCTCAGAAGAGAACTTCTGACCAAAGTGAACTTTAAGTGAACTTTACAGGTATTCTCATGCATATTCCCTTTTGCTTCAGCCCTCTTTCCACCCTTCTGTGGCAGTACAGTTCCCTACCTTATTTCCTTCACCATCCTTTGGGTTCTAGCAATAATTTTACTACCCACTCTTAATCTTTCTCCAGATTTGCTCTTTGGCACTTCTCTTACTGTTGACTTCCAGTCTTAGTCCCCTTTTCTGCAATCATGATTCATTGTCATGTTTTTCCCCTATGTTCTTGTTCCAAAAATCCTCACACAAAATCTGAGTTATTGCCATGCACTCCAGCAGAATCAGGTGTATCTCACCTCCTTCTCCATTCTTAGGCTCCTTTCCACACTGGCTTTCAGTAGTAGAAATATATGTGTTTAATAACTAAATTACCTTTTTAGGATTATCTACTTAAACTATTTTTATCATAAAAAAATCTGAAAGGACTACTGATTTTTTCCTAGTTGCACACAGCCTCATCTTATATAACAACAACATGACTACGGAGTTTTACAGTTATGCAAATTACAAAGACATTCATGTAGAAGTTAAAGGGCAAGAGCAGATTTTTGCATACATGGAATAACTGGGAACATCAATGACATAAGATTAATAATATTCCGAGCTATGAAAATAATAATCAAATTTACTATAGTCAGTCAGCTTTCTGTTATGTTTTCAATTCCCACAACTTACATCCACATGCTTATTGTACTATACCAACCCCTTTGATACTCCAGCTCTGTCATTTACTATCTTCACTTCTTTCACACAGCCATATTGAGCAAAAAACTTCCTCAGATCATTTTCATTAGTCTAGTACAGTAAATCAAGGGGGGAGGGGGAAAAGAGAAGAAAAGTTGGTTTGCATAGTTATTCAATGAATATTTACCATAAGACTTTTAATGAATACACTTTGGATAAAGTTTGCTACAAACTAATTACAACCCTGGATAAGAAGAGAGAGGAATGAGCATGTATGAGCCTTACAGCAAGAGAACAGCATCCCTATTTAATTAGTGCATTTTCATATTCAGCAATAATGCTAGAAAGCCACTAAAATATTAAAATTCCTCTTTTAGTGGTTTTATGTAACAACTGTCCCTTTTCAGGCAAGACCATTGAAGCAGGTTTACTAGATCTGAATTTTAGTTTCTGTAAATTACGTACCAGAGCACTGTTTACAATATGAAACATCACTGCAGTGTTTTCAAATTTCAAAACGGCAGAGTACGTAGGCTTCCATAAAGGATATGCATAGGTCACACATGAAAAAAATCCCCACTAAATCACAGTGACTTCATGGTCAAATCCATCTAATATACCATGATCCCTCTTTCTAAAGTATACTTAATATAAGACTCTGCAAGTATGGATAGGCACACCACAGGAACTCCCCATTTATAAATTAAGTAAAAAAAGGTCCCTTTAATGGAGAATGGTCTAAATCCACTTGGAGGAAACTGTTCCCTTCTGAGTATGCATGGAAGAAGACAAGTTCCTAATGTAAAGGCACATCTAAGCTATGTGAACACTCGTCTACCTTCTATGAATCAGTTTTCTTTTGCAATGTAAGCATATATCAAATATGGTGCCCTAAACATCACATTTCAGATTTTAAAGTTTTGTTCTACATGGTCCATAGTTAATACTATACCTAATGCTGGAAGAAGTATGCTTATACGCATGGATCTCTACATGCTTCAAGCAATTTCTATATTCATCCATACTTTTCGTTATTTTAAGGACATGTACCAGAAGTACTATTTTACCTCTAATTGAATGACTTTTATTGTTTTTAGCTCTATGTATACAACTTAGTAAATCCCCTCCTGCACATCAAATGCTTATCTGCCTCATCTAAGTTTGAAAAGCAAAAAGAACTTAAAAGAAAAAAAAACTAATGTAAACAACTTTCATAACTGGAAAGAATATGAAGTTAATGCTCTTTTTTAATAATTCTACCCCCAAGACACATTTTACAAAAATAAATAATGCAGCTTGCTTGCTACAACCTCTAAGTCCAGCAGAGAGCAATGACAGATAAAGACTGCTTTATCTCCCTCACTAATCCAAGTATTCAGGCATTAAGATATTATAAAACATCCAGTCACTCTGAAAGTGTGAGGAGTAACAACAGATACAAGTGCACTGAACAGGCGTGAAATACTTTAATGTTTTATTAAAGCTCAATAATTGTGTCCTCTCCTTGGAAACTGCCAGCACTGGTTCTTGAGAAACTAACCACCATGGAAAGGTTAAAAAATTTCTGACTGGAGTCCAGACCACTCTCCTGAATAGATGATCACGCTTTGCACCTAAACAGAAGTGTGAAAGCCTGTGTACATCAGAAAACAGATTCAGCCAAACAACTGATAGCTTGTATCAGAGGAGGTAATTCTTACATTGGGAGGTGATTCTGCCCCTCTACTCTGCTCTGGTGAGACCCCACCTGCAGTACTGCATCCAGCTCTGGAGCCCTCAGCACAAGAAAGACATGGACCTGTTGGAGCGGGTCCAGAGGAGGGCCACAAAAATGATCAGGGGGATGGAACACCTCTCCTATGAAGAAAGGCTGAGAGAGTTGGGGTTTTCAGCCTGGACAAGAGAAGGCTTTGGGGAGACCTTATTGCGGCCTATCAGTACTTACAGGGGGTTTATAAGAAAGATGGCAGCAAACTTTTTAGCAGGGCCTGTTGAGACAGGACAAAGGGGAATGGTTTTAAACTAAAAGAGGGTAGATTTAGACTAGATATAAGGAAGAAATTCTTTACAATGAGGGTGGTGAAACACTGGCACAGGTTGCCCAGAGAGGTGGTAGATGCCCCATCCCTGGAAACATTCAAGGTCAGGTTGGACGGGGCTCTGAGCAACCTGATCTAGTTGAAGATGTCCCTGCCCATGGCAGGGGGGTTGGACTAGATGACTTTTAAAGGTCCCTTCCAACCCAAACTATTCTATGATTCTACAAAACAATTCTACAGCATATGCTAAAGTGTTCTTACATTCTTGAATAATGAAAAGCATGTACAAAGTACAAAAGGCTCGCAGCGGAGATTTTCCTTTCCCTAAAAATTTTCTCAAATGAACACCAAAATGTATGTGCTTAGAAATGAAAGGCCTATAGATAAAATTTCCCATTTCTGGAAGATTATTTCTTTTAAGCTCCGTATGTTACATGCAGCTCAGTGCTTCACAAAGCTGAGAAAAAGAACCTATAACAAAATAGTTGAAGGCTAAAATATGCCAAGAAACAAATGAAAAGCCCTTAAGATTGATCAGTTCTGAAATTGTCATTCAATACCTCAAGGACATGAAGCACAGCTACACAAGACTATGAACTTGGAAACCCAAAGGTTTATCTGCAGAGCAGTGTATTAAAGGGGAATAAGAAGGAAACACTATCCTAAGATTCACAGTGAAATTTGCAAGTATCTGGACAAACATGGTATCTAGAAGCTTGCCAGAAACACATTCAGGACTTGCCTTTTTCCTGCTCATGACAGGACAATGGCACTTGTCAGATTCTTAAGAAAGGCTAATGTTAAGCCTTCACCTATGTCAAAAGATACATGGCGTACACCACTGAAAAAAGAGCTCTTCAGACCAATATGAAAATGCACCCAGGTGTAATTTCTCTTACTGAATTGTTTCTCTACATTTAAGAAGCCAGGTGTTTCCTCTTACAAACAGGAATCACTGCTACAGTGACAGACCAAATGGAAGTGTCTGGCAAAATAACAAAAGCTTGCTGGAAAGCAAATAATTTTTTGCTGATTAAACGCCTCCCTTTTTCACAAAAATAAATAGATAGCTTTTTCACCACCCCTCCCATAGCTAACTTGAGTAAGACCTTTTGGGGAAAAAAACAATGCTTTTTGCCATAAGATTCCCCATAAAAAACAAACCAAAACTGACATATATATCCTACGATTGGAACAGAAATTTAAGGCTCTACTTGGTATCAAGAGTCATAGTAAATAGAAGAGTAGCTAAAATGTCTACAGAGGTTTCATCCTTCTATTATTTCCTTTCCCAATGACATTCATCTTCTTTATGCTTATAGATACAAATACACTTAACTCCTCTCGTTGAAATTAAGATTCATCCTAGATTTTGACCTATCAGCAACTGAACCAGAGTCAAGAGACCCTTCAAAATGAACAATAAATAAGACAATTAACAAGAATATTGGTATGTTATGCAGAGAAGTGTTTTAACCTTTGAAATTGCAGTGAAGAAAAAACAGAGTGAGACAGATCTTTTTACAGCTCTAGTAATTTGCCTACTATTAATGCAAAAAGCTACTGTGCCTCTTTGCTACAGCCCAAATATATTGAAGACCTCATACAACATCTCTTGAATTATGAATGCCTCCATTTGAATTATCTCAGCCAAATGAGCCAGAAGATCCTGGAATTTCTTGTGTTTATTATGCAAAATAACCTGAGTCAATTGTCATTTTTCCTCCTCTTCATCTGAGTCAGTGCTCAAAAGGTCCTCAGCCTAGGAGGATTAAAGCAGAGAAGATATTGTTGGTGGGAACAAAGAAACAGCTAAGCAGACCAACACTGTTTCGCAAAAGTCAATGACTTGACTTAATATCTGAAGTGATATGAAAAAAAATGGGAGTAGCTGGTATAAAGCTCTGGTGCCTATCTTGCTACAAATGTTCAAAGTGACTGAACAACGTAAGAATGGCTCAGTATTTACTGCTATTTGAGGTTTTTAGGGCATATGCAAAGGCACAAGCATTCTAAGAATTAAGATCAGTACTGCAAACTGCCCAGAGAAGCTTTAATATTTGTTTTAAAACAAACACTTGCTTTTAAGAAAATTACTATGGTAAGTGAGGAATACATGCACTGTAGCTCCTTCTTTGTATGAACTGGAAAAAAAAAAACCACTAGAGGAACTGAAGCTACTGACATTTGCTGTGTTTGCAATCTGTAACACTGTGTTTATGGTTTATTAAATTACACTAAGTATTATACACAATAAAAAAAAAAAGATCTTCAACATACTTTTCTACCACAAGCTCTGCTGATTACAAAAGCCACCTTCTTCGAAAAGAGAAAATTCTGAAGAACCAGTACATCAAAAGCTTCTAGCAGCTAGGTGTACAAAGAGTCAACTTTGTAGGACAGTTATGTAAATCAAGACTTAAAGCTTTATTCTCTACTGTTGATTTGAACATTAGAGAGAAGAGCACTTATCACCTAAACAAACACACATATGATTACGTCTCACATTTTTTCATACTGATTTTTATAGGGTTATAAATTATCGTTTTGTAGTAAAATTAGGAAAAAAATACCTTAAAATCAATTCCTCCTACAAAGATGCGATTTGGAGTAACTGTTCCAAACCTTGGAGCACTGGTCAGATTATTTAATGGCACTGGTGACACAGTGTTGGGAGATGAAGATAAAGATTCTGTTTGCGTCTGATTTGTGGTCTGCTGATTGAAAGAAAATATTATTTTCAATACTTACATGTTATAAGCTATTAAATAAAAAAATTTTCAACAGAAAATACATACAGAATTTTTTGGGAGGCACAGCAAATGCTGAACAACTGAACATGAGCCGTGTATTTTTATTCAGAATGCAGCTCAGCGAAGTGTTTAAACGTAAGCTTAGTTTTAAGCAATTCAGTAATTTAGTGAATACACTACGGTCTAAAGTTACATCTTCACTTTAATACCTTTTGAATTAGGCATTTAAGGCCTAATCCCCCAATGTTAGTTTTTCTGTTTGCACAGCACCCTGCTGTATGAATCCGAAATTACGACTTCTATTTCAGAGATTAATTTATACCTATTAGAAGCCCCTTAGTTTAAGCCTATATAGAAAGGGCCTTTTCAACTCAACCTGCACTCACACACATCTACTAAACTCTGCTCTCTGTAACAGCTCCTGCTTGATTTTCCAAGTGCTGAGCACCCATAATTCCACCACATAAAATCAACCAGCTCATTACAACTAATGAGAACAGCACTTGAAGACTAGTCTTTTAATTCAACACTCTCTTGGCCTACAAACACGGTGCACAGTGATCCTCACAGAAATTCTCTCTGCAGAATTGCTCTTGCCCCAGTAAAAGAAAGGAACACAGAATGATGGGAACTTCATGGAAACCATTAATTAGTGAAGTCTGCCTGTGTTTTAACTTCCACCATGCTTACACCTGTGAATTGTGAAACAATACAGACTCACATTTCATTGGAAACCCTTTTCAGAACAAACTAATACTGCCTTACATAGTCAACCCTAACTGTGAGATGGTAGTTGTAAAGCAGCCACATAGTACTGTCACTAACTTCTCTAACAGGAACTGCAGTAGAGGCTTCAAGACCTTTTTTGCTGTGGTCCCCACCACCCACCAAACTAAAGTTTACTAAAACCAATCCTGTGCTATAGTGCCTTGACAGTACCACTGAGGAAGAAGCCTAAAGTGAAAGACAAGCAGCTGCTGCAGGCTGCAGGTAACAAGACTAATAGTAAGCAGAGTAGTGAAAACTAGAAGTAGGAATCTCGGGATATCAGCCTCCAACCTTTCTTTTGAAAGGATTTCAAAAGAAATGTATTTTTTCTTACCATTGTGCAACTGTTAAAATTTGTGGTAAGAACCAACAAAATATATTTTAAAAACAGAAAGCTACTGCATCTAGTAAAGTTCTTTCGCTTCTTGTGGTAGCTGTATCTTTTACCCTCTCAAAAACTAGAGCAGAAAATGAAGTGCTCTTTAACAGTTCTCCTCACAGAATCCCCCTTTCATTTACACTGTCTGTTTTACTTCCTGATTTTGCCTCTCTTACTTATTCACAGAACAGCATTTTCTTATCTGTGCCTTTAAGCATTCCTGGATGAAACAAATCACTTATCTTTGGGAGAACCCATGAAAATGAAGGCTGACAGTTAAAAGTGCAATGAGAAACGGTAGATCAATAATGAAGAAGAATGTTACAAAAAAAGTTGCCTTTTGTTTGCCCTGCAAGCCCTTCTAGAGTAATTTCATATTTCCTTAGCTACCTGAGAGTTAGTCCTATTAACTCTGAGTAATGGGTTAACACCATTGTTTTGGATACCTTAAGGACAAGAAATCCAGCTTAGTCCATGCCTTTTTAGTTTTAGGGAAGACAAAATTCCTTTCCAAATTTACTAAAACATACACATTTGGGGCAGAGGGAAAACCCAAGTCTTTAACCTGATCTATTCAGGAGAAAGTATATATTCCTCCTACTAGGAATACTACCCTAGAGTAGTACCTAACCTGAAAAAAAAAATCCCACTTACAGGCAAGGAACAATCATAATCACTACAGTCCCAAGGGCTTTAGAAGGAGGAATGTTTTCTGCCAAGAACAACTTTTGAAGGACGATGAAACAGGTTACTTTTTTCATCTCTCACACCAAACACAATATTTGACTTGTGGCAATCATCTGGCAATTGTGTACAGCACTAAAATATCTGAATTTAACTATAAAGTAACAACTAACAGTTGACACCACAGCCAAAATGTATTCCTTACCTCAAAGATCTCGAATTTCATTTTCTCCAACAAGTTTTAAGAGTTGTAAAACTTATTAAAAAAAAAAGAAACAAACCCAAACTCCAAATGGAAGTTTTGAAAGTGAGGAATTAAACACATCACTTGTGAACTCCCAATACAGTAAACCCAAATGAATTTTAAAACGTTAAATCTGTATTCTGATAGCTATCTCAAACATCGTTTCCTCGGTTTAATACCAGTGTAGCAGTAAGAAAACAGTATTTAAAAAAAAAAAAATCTATGTGCTAACAGCACGTCACTTGCCTAATCATTTGTGTTTCTACAGGTTTTTAAACTAACTTTTTATCATTTTTTCCCCAAACAGTATGGGTATGTATATTCATCAGTATTTTTATGGGTTATTTAGCGTGTTTGACAACTGCTCTTTACCAGAATTGGTAAGTTTTCATTTTTATGTTGAACACATCCACAGCCAAACAACTGAACACTACAAAGGCCTGGTAATTAATCCTACCTTACTCCCTGAACAACTCCCTTTTTACAGCCCGTATCCTATAATATCAGAAATTAGACACCCATCTTTCCCAGGTCTCATGTACCGCTGTAGACCCGAGGCAAGGGGGGCGGTTTCCCAGAACTTGAAGCCACCCCAGGGCGCCGCACCACAGAGGAAATGGCGGCAGCCCGCGGGGGTGGG